GAGGTTTAAGTCATCATGGATAGAAACCATCTTAGTTGGAAGTCTTTTTTAAAAAGTATGAAAAATCAAATTTGCATTTATACTTATAGAAATAACTAATTACTTATAAAAATGCAATTCAATGTTAATAATATGCTAAAATAGCAAAGTGGTTTCAATTATTTACACAATATATATTTTTAGAATTAGAAAAAAGTAGAGAAGCTATCTAAAATTAAAGATAGAAAGCCATCCCAGTGTTTCCCCTAACCTTTAGAAACATGGTATGAAGAGATTTTATCTAGATGGTCAGGTAATGGCCCATGAAATCCTATATAATAAAACCCTAATATGCAAATCGACTGAACAGCAGAACAACCGGTCGCTATGACGCACACTGACCACTAGATGACAGATGTTCAATGCGGGAGCTGCCCCCTAGTGGTCAGTGTGCTCCCACAGGGGGAGCGCCGCTCAGCCAGAAGCCAGGCTCATGGCTGGCGAGTGCAGCAGCAGTGGCAGGAGCCTCTCCTGCCTCCGCTGCAAGGTGGGCAGTAAGGAGCAAGGGGTCCCGGACTGTGAGGGATGTCTGACCAGCTGGCAGACATTTCCTGAGGGATCCCTGGCTGTGAGAGGGTGCAGGCCAGGTTGAGAGACCCCACCTTAGTGCACGAAATTTCGTGCATCAGGCCTCTAGTATTTTCTATAAAAGGAATAAACTACTGATATACACAACTGGATAAAGCTCAAACATTACGCTGACCAAAAGGAGACAAACACAGAAGAGCACGTACTTTATGACTCCATTTATGAAAAATTCTAGAACAGGAAAAGCCAACCCACAGGGACAGTGAGCCGATCAGTGGCTGCCTGAGGCAGAGGCTGAGGGGAGAACTTCAGAGCCACAGCAAGGAACTTTCTGGGATGATGGAAATGTCCTATCTCTTGACAGAGGTGGTAGTTAACATCAGTGTGAAAATTCAGGACCATACACTCCAAATGAGTACATTTTACTGCACATAAATAAGTAAATAAATCCTACACTTTCCTCTTTAAATTATGTTAAAATGAAACTTTAATCTCCAAGAAAATAAAAAACAAAAATACCAATGTCATAGAAAAACAACTTTTTAATCGAGATTTTTTTCAAAACCAATTCAAAACCCTTAAACAGTTTCCCTTCTCCCTGAGTAAGTCTACTCTGGTCTGCCCTTGCAGTGACCGCTGAGCAACCCCATAGCTCTGACCACTCACCTCCCCCACCCTTCTGCTCCTCGGAACCAGCCTGCTCCACTCCCTCTCCTCACACTCAGATAAACTCACTGGAATGAGTAAGGTAACTCTGCTCTACAGCATGACACTGGCACTGCCTCCTGTAGATAAGCTGCATGTACCCCCTGACATAGACAGCATATACTCATGTTTTCATTGTTTAAAATATTAGAATAAGGGAATTCTCCTGGTATTTCATTTAAATTTACGGAAGTACTACTTTCACACACTCTACCCAGACAATGGCCATAAATTATTATATCAGATTTAATTGATTTAATTAAAGCACCAAGATTTTTAAATACCAATTGATCAAAACTAATACTAGAGTAATATTGCTTAATATTAAGACATATCATTATATATTCAAAATAAGATATATTATTGCTACCACAGACTAATAACCACCATAGTAATCATTGTTACCAGCAAAAAAAAATCCAAGAATTAAAGAGTATTAAAATACTCAAATTCTGTGAACAACTCTGATTAAACTTGAAATAAAGACTCTTTACTATTCTTGGGGCAAAATGGGTGGGGGTGGGGATCAAACAGCTTCAGTTTACTGAAATAGCATTAAATTATATGTGGTTAAGGAATGAGTAAGACTGCAATAACAATAAACAGATGGGGACATAGATAAGAAAATCTTATATACCGTCTTTGGAAAAGAAAAGCAGTCAAACAGTTCTGAAACATTAAAAAATACCCTCCTGCACAAAGCTGGCAGGTCCATTAAGTTGTCCAAGTGAAGAAAATGTCCTCAAATATGGTGTTAATCTCAATAGTGAACAAACATATTACTACACTCTTGCCCCTTTACAATCCGGTCTCATGGCACAGTGAGCATGCTATTCTAAAAATGGAAACCAAAGTATGTCACTGTCCAGTGGCTTCCCACTGAACTTATAATAAAAAATAAACTTCTTCCCATGGCCTTTAAGGACCTATAAATCTGGCCCTTGCCTCACATACTAACTTCATCTGGTCCCAGAGTCCCACATATTGCCAAGCTCCAGCCCTGGTTTGCTCCCTGTGCCTTGAACCAGCAAGCTCATTCCCACCTCTGTTGTTCACTCTGCCTAGAATTTTCTTTCCCAAGATCCTCATATATCTGGTTCTTGCTTATTACTTGGGCCTATTATTCAATTATTATTAAGAATTCTATTAATTTATTATGATTCTATTGTTAATCACCCTTCTGGAATAGCCTTCTCTGACTATGTAATCCAGAGAACCTCCCCCTACCTTCACCCAGCATTCTTTATCACATTACCTTGCTGCACTGTCTTCACAGCACTTTTCACTGTCTGAACTTATCTTCCTGCGTTTGCACTGTCGCCCTCTGCGAGTATGTAAGTTGCAGAGCAGAGCCCTTACCTATCTGCTTCACTGCAGAATCCACAGCACACTGGGATGCAGTCTATGCAGGATGAGTGATGGGATGAATGAACTTCTGCACAGTGAAGATGATGGAAATATGGATGGCTTATCACAGTTCTCAGGGTTACATTTGCAGCATCAAGTGATTATACCTTCCTTTTGATTTTTTTTTTGTATGTAAGACTTTAAAACAAGTTTAGAAGGCTAAATTGCTGGCATTACCACAGATTACTGATAAGGACAGAGAGATGCTGCAATCATAAGCTACTATACTGGTAGAAGTTGCAAATATTAGTAGTAAGAGTTATACAAAGGTTCTTTTTAGAAAATTAAGTGTGACTCGATAAACTGGTAATCAAGGCCATTGTATTAAATCATCAAGGTGAAAGACTACAGAATGTTATATATTAAATATATATCAATAAAGCTGGAATGACTGGGGCTATACCCCAATATTACAGTTCTCCTCTCCTCCCAGGCACTTGACGGAATGCTCTGCTCCCCCCACCTGAGTTTTAAATTAGATGTGGCCATATGATTAACTTTGGCCAGTTAAATGTAAACAGAAGTGACAGGTGTTGAGACAAAGCCTCCATCATCCTTGGTTCTTGAGCAACCACAATAGCAGAGCCACAATGGATGTGTACTGAGAAACAGAAATAAATGGCTGCTGTGTTAAGCCCCAAAGATTTTGGAGCAGCCTGTCAGCACGGCATCACACAGCTTATCCTGATATAGCAATATAGCACAGTGAGCAAGAACCAGGCTTTGGAATCTACAGGCCTGGGTGTGAATCAGAGACCTACCACATGTCTGAATGATCATGGCCAAACCACTTTTCTGGGCCTTAATGTCTTCATCCATAAAATGGTTAAAAATCCTGTACTTCATAGGGTGGGTATGAAGACTGAATTAATAAGAAAATGTATGTGCGATAACGAAATGCCTGGCATGCTGGGTAAGCACTCAACAGATAGGAATATGGCATTAAACTCTAACATACCTACTTTAAGCTACTTTGAGCAGAGTTGCATTATGGAACTGCACTCACTTTTATGTTCTATAAAAGTACAGTAAGTCCTCATTTAATGTCATTCATAGATTGTGCAACTTTAAGTGAAATGTGGTAAAATGAAACAATTTTAGCACAGGGCTAAGTGATACAAACAAGAGTTAACTTCCTAAGGCATCTCATCAACGTTATAACGAAGGACATTGAAGGAAAGGAGGTGAGGAACTTCTATAAAGCATTCTAAACTCTTCAACGAGAGAACCATTTATAAAGTTCTGGATTCTGCTATATAAATCTAAGAAAAAAAGAGAAGAAAAATAGTGGAACATCTCGAAGTTAAATATTTAGATGGATGTGTAAAGTAAGTGGAGTAAAGGATATCTATGATTTGCAAATGGAGAGAAAAGAAAGTGGACAGCGAGGGAAGGAGGTAGAGAGTTGCTCCTCTTGCCTGCCAATCAGGCCTGGGCTCAGTTAGAAGAACAAAGGCTCACATGGAAAGCAAGCTGGGTTCTAAATTGGGAAGACAAGAGATAGTACAAAATGGGTAAGTGCTGAGTGGAGAACAGACCAGAAGAGAAAGAAGGATAAAGAACAAGTGGGCCTTGGCTCCAGGAACCCAGGGCTGGGATTGGAGGGAAAGCCTCGCAAGCGACCACTCGAAACGCATTGGTAACACTGAGCAGTCCAGAGGCTGCTTCAATAGCCAGTGCTTAAAATACCAGCACGCTTGGGGCTTTGAACTCTCGTTTCCTCTAAAGGACTAACTTGTAAACAATATGGTATGCTCACTCCTAGGGTCCTTTAGTCCCTAAAACTTGGCTGTCAGGCATACATGGATGAATGATGCTGTGTATTGTCTTAGAGACCACACCCATTATAAGGGCCAGATCTGACAGCTAACGTTCATCAAAGCTATATGGATCAGTCCCTAGAGAGAAAAATCTAACCCTAAACTCACCATCAAGATTTGAATTACAAATCTGGTTCAAGTTAAAACTTTCTGAATATCTACACTTTTGTATAGTTATTTAGAAGTTTTGAAGCATGCATTGCTCATTTTCACTGGCTGCAAATGAGAAGAATAAATACGAGAGGGAAAAACATAAAATGTCCTGAAACAATTCTTAATTTTTAAAAATTACTGGGATAACTATTCAGAAACACTCATAGATTTTTTGCCATGACATAATAATCAGGACTAAATATCACGTAACTAATATTCCTCAAATAAAGAAAATATAACTAAAGATGCTGAAATTTTACTCATAAAAAGTGGACTTTTTATAATACAAATAAAAGTTTCATTACTACCAGGCCATTTAAATTATACCCACATCAGAAATGTGCTAACCATTAGAAACATAAGAGGACCTTTTCCATTGATATTTGGCATTTAGCATCAAAGGCAGTCCTCTGCAGATCTGATATTAAAACTTGTCAAACGCAAAATGAAACTGTAAAAAGCCAAAAAAAGAAATGGTCACAACTCTTTTAAATGGCATGTGGACTTTCTTTAAATACAAGTTCATTTGATATAAATGAAATATTGAAGCGAATGTGTGAGGTGTCAAAGAAATAAAATATTAGAAATACTAATAGCCTAATAAGATGTAAGAATTAAAGCATTATTAAGCCTAAGGTGAAAGTTGTAGCCACTGAAATAATGACTGCTGAACAATGAGGCAACAAAAGCAACGTCAATATTTAGATTCCACTTTGGAAACTTTCATGATCGTTCTTTTTTTTTTTTTTCATGATCATTCTAATCCAAAATCAAGAATTCTAACAACAGTTCCTGGGCCATTAGAAAAGCAAGTTCCTTTGGGCGACAAGGTTCACATTAAGAATCAGTCTTAAAATGGGAAAATATATGAAATCTATGACACATATATGCATATAACTTTATGGGCAATGACTGTGAAAATCCACTGTTCTCCTTCCCTCCCCCATTTTACCATTTCAAAAACAATTTGCCTTCAAAAGCATGTCAGTAAATCTGCAAGTTTTAAAATAATGGAAACCACGTGCCCCATGTGTTCACCAGATTCATTTTTATGACGTATGGTCCTGTGCATTAACATAAACATATTTTGATAAAGAAAGTAATAAAAAGAAATCAAAGAATCCATTCCAAAAATTTCACATCTCTCAATGCAACACAGGACTGAATTTATTAAACTTGGCCACCTAATAAAATTGGACTTGTGATCTCAGTTAGAGGCACCTGCAACTGATAAAAAGGTGTCCCAAGTTTCACTTGATGAGGGATACAAATATTTTCCACTCTGGTAGTTTTAAGCTAAGCACTAAAAATTATAGACTTCACATATTTAAGTTCTGTCCTTTTTTAAAAAAATGTGTTTATAAAGATTTCAAAAGAGAGTGTTTCTGACACCCATAAATTTCTATAACTGCAAGTGAATAATATTAAGATCAGAAAATAAGAATTCTACTCTACAATATATTAAATCCATATAACAGGTTCTACTTATCAGAACACCCTGAAGGCTACAGAAATGTCCACAGCAGAACTGTTTAATCTCCAGGTAATCCCAAACCCCTGAAAGGTGAAGCACATCTTACATTTCAATATCTGCCCTCTTGTTTCTATTCCATGAACAGGTTTTTCAAAGACAGAGCATCTTAAAGTTTCCCATCTGATCAATTTTGGTCTTTAAAAAACAACAACAAAACTTTTAATACTCTCTTTTCAGTCAATGGGTATTACGAAATTAAAAGTATTAAAAATAAAAGCTTAGTAAGCCTCAAAACAAAACAACTAATTAACACCAGAGTGTAGCAGGGGAGAGGTAAAAAAAAAAAAAAAGAAAGGAAGGAAGAAAGAAAATCCGAATTAGGTCCCTAAGAATGAATGAGTCCTCTACTCAGGGTTCCATAGAAATGCCAACCCACGCCCCCAAAATGCACACCATGAAAGCAATGGATTCATTAATGGCATTAAGAACAGAAAGGAAAACCTGGGAGGAAGGACTATCTTTTAGAAATCAAGAACTGGTCTAACATCTAAGTAATGTATTTGTATAAATTCTTATATTTAAACTCACCTGATTCATTTTCAATTCCTGTTGTGTTCTGAAAAGATACACACAACAAAAACTTCTTTGATTACATGAGCCCTAAAAAGAAAAACAGACAATTGTAATATGTACCTGCCTACACATTTACAGTGATTTAAAACCACATACAGAACTGTAGAGTTTGCTCAAAGGGCTATTCATAAAGCAACTCCATGCCAGATCAACTTCGATTTATGCTGAGAGCTTACTTCACAGATTTATTAGCTACAATAAAAAAGATTTCTTGCTAATCTTTACCAGGGCTTCATTGTATTCTACAATTGAAAGCAGACTCATTAGAATGACATCAAATTTTTGCTTTGGAATTGCATCATTCCTAAGAAGAAATGTTAGCTTTGTTCACATGAACACAAAGCCTTGTTGCATAAATTATGCAATTTAATGTCCTTCTCTTACTTATATCAACACTGAGTTGAATACAAACACAAATAGACCCCTTTACATTATTTTGTTTTTCAAGTTCCTGAAGTAGAGGCGGATTCAATAACATTTTCATAGCAAGTTCTCTTTGAGAAACAGAACAAAAACCTTGTAGTAAAATGCAAATGTTTTATTAAAAGCTGTTTGGAAAGAACTACAATTGTTCCTTTAAATTTCTTCTTCAATATACTCATAGTATAATAAAATAACAAGAATACAAAATCATTTCTTACAAGTGAACATGACATACTTGTTTTTAAATAACAATCTATAAAGATGGTCCTCTCTGCAACATACGTCCTGTGAGTCAATTGAAGTCTTTCACAATAAATGAAAATCATGCCACTTTCAGGAGCACTTCCACTGTAATAATCTAAGTTTTCAGCATGTACACATGCACACACCATTAAGCATAATTCTATTTCTTCATGAATTTACTTACAATAATCTCTTATTCCTACGCCCCAAAGACACTGCTCACCTTAGAACTGTATGTTCCAATTGTTAATTAACCAAGGAGCATGTAACTCAATGATATTCTGCATACAAGGAGAAAATTCTGCCTGCCCACTTCATGCAGAACGAGGCTTTTACATTTTACCCTGGTCCTTAACAAGGTCAGTTTGGGGTTTCTTTTCCCTTGAGCTACTTAACCACACTCACCTGATCACCTTTAGGGCCTGGTCATCTAAACTAGCTTTTATTCATACTGGCACAGGGAATGTATTCCATAACTTGCATCTTGTTGAAGAGCTCAGTCTAGCCAAACCAATATAAACTTGTAAGTAAATACTCAGTGAACACAATTTCAGAAAACTGGAGGTTAACGCATAAGTCCATTCTTTTCAAATTTAATATTGAGCTTCTTTCTCAGATACATGTCCTTCTTTAGTATATATTCTATACTGAATATGCCAGGTTTTTCAATTGCTTCTCACTAAGTTTTTAGAGGTGGATTTACTAACACTGGCCACAGGGTGTTCTCTTCGAGGAACAGAACGAAAAAAATCCTACAATAAAATACAAATGTTTTAATGAAAGATCTTCAGAAAGAGCTATACAATGTTTGCAAGATAAGCACTGTTTACCAGAATGGCTATGGCTTTTCCACCCAGAGATGGAAAGCCACTGGGAGCCTGAAGGTGGCAGGAATGATCTAACGTGACTTAGATTTAAAGAGACTAAGAACTACACATTGCTAGTTACAGAACAGTCACAGGGTGTGAATTTCAGCATGGGGACTATGCCCAGTAATACTGCAGTAACTATGTGCGATGCCAGGTGGGTACCTAAAATACCCAGTGGAGTACTTTGTAAAGTATATGACAGGCTAACTACCATGTTTTGCTAATTCAAAATAATATTGAAAAGAGACTGTAAGAGAGTAGGGTGGAGGCAAGCAGACCTCTTAGGAGGCTAATGGCCCAACCTAGCAAGAGACGACAGTGGTTTGACCCAGGCAGTAGAAAAAATGTGAGAAGTAGCTGGATCCTGGATCTATTTGCAAAATAGAGTCCCAGGATTTGATGCCAGATTAGATTCCAGGTATGAAAGAGGGAAGTCAGAGATGACACCAAGGTTTTTATCCTAAGGACATGAAAGAATAGAACTGCCGTTTTTTTCAGATGCTGCCTCCTTCTTTTCATGTGCTTTCCATTTGTTTTTCCCTCTTTTTTAAAAAAAAACAACAACAACATTTTCTTCTCTCTCTTCCCATTTTGCAGTTGCTAGCTCACAGGCACAATTCAAACAACTGAGATACCCTGACATCTGAAACCACATATCTAAAGTATCAAAGTACAGTAGCCCCTCAGTATCTCAGGGGATTGGTTCCAGGACCCACCCCCAACTGCCCCACAGATACCAAAATCCTCAGATGCTCAAGCACCTTAAATAAAATGGCATATCTGCATATAACCTACATAGGCACATCCTCCCATATACTTAAACCATCTCTAGATTACCCATAATACCTAATACAATGTAAATGCTGTGTAAATAGTTGTTGCAGTGTATTGTTTAGAGAATAAGTGCAAGGACAAAAAGTCTGTAAATATTCAGTATAGATGCAATCATCAATCATTGTAAACCTAACTCCATGGTACACATCTGCAACACCTAACTCCCCCCCAACCCCACCCCCGCCCCAGAATATTTTCAATCCTTGATTGATTGAATCTGTAGGTGCAGAACCTGTAAATACAGAGGGCCAATTGTTCTTTTATTGTTATCTCAACTTTTTCTTAATAAAAAATTTTATAATATAATTCAGATTGTTACATGATTAATAATCTTCTTTCTACACTGTCATTCCCTTTGTCCAAATAGGAATGCACTCATCATTTCTTTCCAGAGAACAAAAGGATCTTAACATCTTTTTTTTAGAGTTCACTACTTATCTACATGCTTGGACCCTTCTGTCAATCATTTCAAATCCTAATGGCTAAAACCAGACCCTCATTTTTTTCTCTCTCCCTCTTAGCTTACAACAAGTCAAATAATATATCTAAAATATTCTACAATACCAAATGCATTGCAAATCCAACACTTCTCAAATGATATTTTAAGTTATATTTTTTATTAAAAATAAGAGATGTTACAACAAAAGAATTGAGACTTTGAGGACCACTGCATTTTGGACTGGGCCACTGTCCCTTCCTTTAAGGCCATTTAGCACTGCCCTGTCCAACCAATGCCAGTAGTGCCTTCACACACTTTGACAATCAAACCATCTACACATCCCCAAATACCATCCCAATTGAGCACCTATGAACTGTACACTCTAAAACTTTAAAAACAGTTATTGAAGTAACTTCCTTAAGATTCCTCCCGCACCGCAAAGCCCTGTGCCA